ATCCATCATTTCTACATTATTTGAATGATAGTATTTTATTTTGGGAATAAAATCTGATTATCAAAGTTATGAAATAAGCAGTTAAACAGATAACAAAAAGTTATAACAGGTGCCAAGTGTACAGAAGAGAAAATTCAAGTGTAGGTTAACTGAAAGAGATTTGTTGATATTACCTACAGAAACAAAAAGTTGTAACTTTCAATGACTTTTTTAACATAATCTGTTATACAAAAGTTATATTGTGAGTGGAACCACCAAACAACGATTGTTCTAAAACAATTTTTTAAAATTAGGAATTCCAGCTGATAAATGTAAACCACAATGTCACAAGTCATCTGAACTACAGATACACGTGACACACACCACACCTCTGTGTGTGTATGTGTAAGAAAGAGAGAAATAAATAAGTGTTTACTTATTTATTTCTCTCTTTCTCTTATCTCTCATAACAAGAGAGGGATACATAAAATGTAAATGGATATTTTAATTTTTAAACATGGTTAAGCAATTAAAAAAATATTGCCATTAGCAGATTTTTTTTTCCTTTCAAGCATTAAATTTATAGAATCCATCATTTCTTGTGGGACATCCAACCAGGCAACCATTTTTTTCCTCTTTCAGACATGAAATTTATAAAATCTATCATATCTTCTGGGACATTTATAAAATCTATCATCTCTCATTTACACTTTTTTACATTTGGTCTATTGTCCTCATCTTTGTTGTTGTTGTTGTTATTACAATGTTTCAGCCATTGTGCCCTCTGGCCTTCATCAGGTGTATGTCAATCCAGGTAGCTTACAAGAAATTCTGAACTGAACCCTTTATTTATGGGGGTAGATTGTTCTCATTCCACTGCCCATGTATAGGAATATCTCTGCTAGTTCTTATTTTTAGTACTGCTCAGTTATTGCTTGCCCTGTTTCCAAGATTGCCCATTTGAAACATTGTGGAATGTATTGATTTTTCTTTCAATAGTGTCCTTAATATATCTTATTTATAAAAATAATTAAAAGTTTTTTCTAATTACATAATTTCTAAGTTTTATTGCATTTTATATTTTACAATTCAGAGCAGATTTCTGATAAATGGTGTTTCAGTTTTACAAAATCAAAAAAAATATTGATGATTTAAATTATCCAAAGTGTCCTGCTTTTAACTAATATAATAATTTTTGCAAGAATTTCCAAATCAATGTTTTTTTTTACTACAAAAAAGATGCTAAAATTTCCTATATTAATTTCAGGATCCTTGCTGATGTAACAAAATTTTGAACATGCTAGAAAGGATTAAAAAATTTAATAAAATAATCAAAAAATACTTTTTGATTATTTTATTAAATTTTAAATTATTTTTAATTTTTCAAACATTTTGATGATAGTTTTTATCAAGTCCAGGGTGTTTTTTTTTCAGCAAATTAGAGGAGGTGTAGTGCATGCGAAATAATAAATGTCTTTACCTTCAAATTTGGAAGACTGAGGAAAAAGACAGAAATAAATTTGTGAGCCTATGTGAAACATTGTCTTCAGAAATTATCCATTGAACCAAGAAGAAAAGAAAAGAAAAGTAGTGAACATATGCAAAATAGGTTGAAGCTCTTGCCAGTGTAAAATTATTTGCCAATTATCAGCCTTTAACCAAGCATGTGACCCTTCAAAGAATTTTCTCTCAACAATCAAGAAAGCTAAGTATTTCAAACTCTCTTCAGCTAATTTTGAATGTATGCAGACCATATATCACTTCTGTGAACAATGAACTCTCTTACCTTTTGTAGAATATTGGTTAACTTGCCAGTGGTTTGACACACAAGTAGGCAAGTGTAGCCAAAGCTAACAATATTTATTATAGTAAAAAATACAACAAATGTGGCACAAGGCCAAAAAGGGGGGGGAAGGATGGTCATCACTTGTCTTAATATAAAACTTAGCTAGAATAAAGGGCGAACCCCTTAGACAGTATATCCTCACGGTCGAAGAAAACCGGGTCTCTTGCACACAACAACTTCTTGATCTGGATCGGCAAACATTTGAAAAATGACCTTGGATGCCACACGAGTCACAGGTCTGATTCCATGCAGGACATGTCTGTTGGCAGGTGCTGGTTCCTGGGATGCCATGCTTGTGGCTACCACATCCACTACAACGCAAATTGTTCTGTTTTATAATCAGTTTTTTGGGGCACCCAAATTGAGGGGGATTTTTTTTCACTTGTGTTTTTTTTCTTTGCGATAGGTTGATGCACGCAATGCCGACATTTCGAGTGTCCCTGCCATTTGTGCTTGGTCACGCAGTGCTGCCTCGAATGCCTCAGCCTGGTTGATGTTTTGCTCAAGGGTCTTTAATGAGCTGGCCTTTGCTTGTAAATCTGCTTGGAGAGCATCATTTGCCGTGCCTCTGACCAGCTGGTCTTTGATATAGATGTCAGATAGGTCATGACTGCAAATGGGACATGTGAAGTCACAATCTTGCGCTGTACCACTGAGGCGGACAATAAATTGCTGGATTGATTCACCTGTCCTTGAAAATTGAGGGCAAAGACAATCTATGAACCATGGGGTTCAATTTTTGTGTAACTAATGCCTCCAACATGTTCAGGAGTCTATTTGGTTTTTCAGAGAACAATTTGGGGTATGTGTTTATAATTGATGCTTGGACAGTCTCATCAGCACAGTTGTATAACTGGATGTTGGTCTATGCAGGGGGCATGTTTGTCATTTGTACAAATACCTCCCAGTCAATTCTGAACTTTCGGAATTGCTGTGACGTCATCTCTGAATGGAGCTGGGAGAGTTTGACTGCAGGGGCCTTTGTGTAGCTGTCTGATGTCAAAGGCTGCTCCTTTGATAGTTTGAGTATAGCTAGGGAATGTCCCATGGTTGTGACACTTAGTTCTTTAAGGATTTTCCGGTCTATCATAGAGAGGCTATCCTTGATAATGCTTTCTTTCACAAAAGATTCAGCATAGGTCCTGGCAGAGTCAGCGGGAAAAGTGAGGCAGTGTGGTGGGTTTCTCGCTTGCAAATAAACAATTTTCATTTGTTTGTATTGACAGTCCTGGGGTCATATTTGCTCTAATCTGTGCTATGGATGCCATACAGTTTTTCACTGCTACCATTACAATATGTCAGTTTTGAAAAGTGTTTTGCTATGTGTTCTGTGGGTGTAGGGATATTTTTTGAACACTGTTGCCAACATAACATTCTTCAAAATGATTATACAGTCTCTTGAAAGTCCACAATCTGACCTCCTCTCAAATGGCTCTAATTCTACAAAAACAGGAGCACATATGTTTCTCCATGGCATTGCAACATTCTTTCACCAAACTGAACCTTACAACAGCATGTGTTTCTCTCTAAAGCTCTTACATAAACAATGTACTGTTATGAGTGTTATTATGTCACAGTTAACTGAAGAAAATTTAATCAGAATATATAGTTCTTAACATGTACATAACCTTCAAGTTGTAGCAAATTTGTTTTCTTTATATCCATACACAGCCAAAACCCCTAACCATACACACTTTACACTTTACACTTAGTGAACCATCTCTCTTTCCACCTCTCTAATAATATAATACATTCATTCCTCATCTCTCTTTCAGTCTATCATAATAGTCACTGACTACAAGAACAATTAGGTCAGATAGTTTGATGACCAAGTAACAGCTCCAAGCAAGAGCTAAAAATAGATTCTTACATGTGCAGAATCATGTGATCAAATACAAAATGTCGAGCAGGAAAATATCGATAGGAATCAGTTGGAATTTAAGTCTTATGCAAGTAACATCTCTTTTTACTTGTCACCATCAAGCAAAGATGAGTTCCAATTCAAGTCATCATACCATGCTGCATATATCAAATGCACAGATGAATTACCAAGTGTGATACTCATCTAAGACAGGCATGTGTGACCCATTCAATTAGATGCAGGCTTTAACTTATGCAGTGCCGAATCTTCCCACTTGAATGATGAAATTTACATTTTACTGAATATGTGAAGAATAGTCAACGACCAGATCTTGGGGTCAAAACTCATAACATTGAAGAAAGCCAATATGCCAAGAGATATTGCTTCTCTAGTGAAAAGAACTGAACTGAAAGTGAAAGGAACAAAGAGAAATATAAAACTAAAGAGAGAGAGAGAGAAAAGAGAAAACGCTGTTTGATTTCAGGTGAATAGCCAAAGTTAAGTGAATTTTGATTTTCTAGCTTGACATATAATGCATACATCTTTTCATATGTATAGCGCACGCCTTTCCACGCATTCCCTTGCATTAATGCTTTCATGTATTATCTCATGATTAAATCTTGTGAATTTGTATATTAGTGTTTGTTATTTGTTACTGTTGGTTGTTTCTCCTCATTTGTGTATTTGACCCCGTAGAGAATCCTTCCACTATGGAGTGGTAAACCTGGTTATATCCTTTGACAACAAGTCTTTTTATCTTTTCTTTTTAAATTTTGTGCTGCAGCAATTGGTCTGTAACATCTGTCAAATGTATTTATATGATATCTAAATTAGTCACCCTCACTTGTAACATTTACAATTTGCAGAGATATCAAATATTTTAAAAATACTTTGTTGGTATTCTAATTCATTTTTAATGAAAGTGGAACCATTATTTTTTAACAAAATTTTGATGTTGGTGATGTTAACATAAAATATTAATTGCTTTATTCCAGAGATTTTTTTTATATTTATGCTTCTTATTTGATTTTCATATATTCCTTGTGAGTTTGATTTCTGTAATCAAAAGAAAATAAAGAAAACTAGTTTCTAACGAAGTCTGGCAATAGAATTTCATATAAAATTACTTATTATTTTGAAATTTTAGTGATGCTGTCACTTATACTACTCCACAAAGAGGAAAAATGACATTTTTACATTAAGTCAAAAATAGTTGTATTAATTACTTTGATATTTACCTCATTTTATGTCTATTTCAGGTTCTCAAATTTGGAGACAGAGGATCCAGTCGATCGGCACCCATCTGTCAAAATCATGTCTTCCCATGGGATAAACAAGCAAAATTGCCTTTTTATTTGTTTTGGGTGTATTTTGAGCATTGTTATTGGTTTTTTGATTGGATGGTTTTCAAAGCCAGTTCCCTCTCCTGAAAAAAGGTAAGTCTACAGTTTTGATCAGTTTTGATTTGTTTGGCATCCATTTGTTATGTATGAAGCTATGTTAATATCATCAATGAAAGAAATGATTAGTGTTAACAAAAACAAATCTATTAGAAACTTTTGTATGTTGATTATGTATCAAAGGATCTTTTTATAGTGTTAACCAAAATAATATCTTGTTAATGACAATTGTTAAGAACAATTACATTTTTATTTGTTGTTTGATTAAAATATATAAACATTTCACTTTAGCAAACTTTAAAATAGATATTATTACTATAAGTTAAATTATAAATCATATTTGTATTATGCTATACATGATTATCATTTTTAATATCCATACAATTTATTTGTATTGTCAGTTGATACAATTTAGTTGAAAGCCAGTGACTCTGCTAGTTTGCTAAATAAGATCATGTTAGAGTCTTACTTTAGTCAAATTTACACCTTGTAACTGCTGTCTCTTCTCTACCTCAAGTATGAAAATATGTTACTCTGAATAAAAGTTTAAAAAGTTGGCAAATTACAATCTACTACATTCATTTCATCAAAATAATTGCACTTGCATATTATACCAGATGTGGCATATACATTTACCCATTATGCATAAAAACTTTGAAGCCACCAGAAGATAAAAGGAAAAAGTCAAAGGCTCGACAAAACATTACTTAACATACTTGACCAACATTACCATGCAGTCAATGCCATCGACTCTTCCATGCAGGAATTGTTCTACTTAGTCATCAGTGCCATCATCATAAAGGAAGCAATCAGCAAAAAATTAAATTCTTCAATACGTGATAAAGCTGCTGATGAATGAAAGTTTACAGGTTATATTTATTGACAATATTTTGTTTATATTTATAATGCAAAATGGCCAACCTTTGCTTTCACCATAGTCTTTAATCTATTCTCAACTGAAGTGCATGAATTGTTCACCGACTTTTTATTCAAATTGTGCTATGATGTCATAAGAGCTTCTTTTAGGTCTTGAGTACGAAATAGATTAAACATCATTCTTCAATATGGGCCTTATTGAAAAGTTCATAGGATTAATGTTAGGGTTTGATGGGGGTCAAATTGATTTTTCAAAAAATTCATAGAAATGTCTTTTGCACCGGTTCAGCCTCAAATTGACTAGGAGCTCCATCTTGAGTGATGACATAGACTTCTAAATGTGACTGACAACCAAAGTAATATTTCTTTCTTCAACATTTGCTGCTAACCTCTGCTATTCACTTTCATGTCTTCTTCAATAAACATCAATGATAATTTTGGGCCATCAGAAGCAACAGCAGTCCAGACTATGAAACCATGAAATGTGTTCTGACATCTTCATCTCTTGATGAAATGGTGTAAACTCTAACGTTTGGATAGTTGACCACAACCTCCACAGTGAAAAACATTTTGCCTGATCAACTTTGTCTGTGGCATGCTGCATCTGCTCCAACATTTTGTTCCCTCTGTCAAATTTTTTTTGCTTTTAGGCACTTGAGAGCAACTGTTGAATATTTTATGGTTTAAGCCTTAAATCTTCTTTCACAATCCACCTTAGTGACCTATCAAAAATATCCAACTCTTTTGCCATCTTGCTCATGCTTCTTTGTGGATTTCTCTTCATCTTCTTCATGATGGCTTCAATGACTCTCCTGATATGAACTGAACAGTTTCTTCCTGAAATTGGGTTTGATTGGATTTGTTGTTTGCTCCTCTTTAAACTTTTGCAAACATTCAACTGTTTTATTACTTCACAATTCTTCATGCCAGCAGTTTTAATGTAACAGTTTGATTTGTTTGAGCCACCATATTTAATTAAGCTGTAAACAAAAATATATTGGAAGCCTTATGCAAAATTTCAAGCTATTTTTACAAATAAGTATATTTCAATTTATGTTTAAATAATGGGTCATTTTTTATGCTGCTCCTGGTACATAACAATGCAATAAAGCATTTGATTTGAATATTTGATTTCAAAATGCAAAACAAAGTAGAACTAAAAGTTTTTAAATTTTAACTCTTTCTCCTGAGATATATTATAACCCCATACCTCTATGAATCTCTCACATTATCTCTCTTGTCTCTGTCTCTCCACTTTTTTTCCTCTCTACCTCAGTCTCAAGCTCCACTAGCATTGTTGAGCAATATCAACCTTATGGATCATCTACCTTTCTTTTCCTTCCTCTGTTGGGGCCAGTGTGTCATCTCAATAGGGTGGATTCAGATTTCCTAAAATCTTACGATTTTGGGATTGATGGCAATATCTAGTGTGGACCACTCTCTGTACATTATGTACAGTAGTTAAGAATGAATAATTCTCAACTTACAGCCATGTTACTCTTGTGACTTTGCATCTAAAGACTACTTTGGAAATCATGCTGGATTAAGAACTCTTTTAATAAAATGCACAACACTGTTGATAACTGTAACAACAGGTTTACTGGTTGAATAAAATGTTTCTATTATCTACTACAAAATCATTTGAGATTTGAGAAATCTACCCACAAATGTAAAAATAATAGCCTGTCCAGTGACTCTCACTCAATTCTTGAAGGTAACTACCAGCCGATTGACTCTTACTCAATTCTTCTATCATGCATGTGTCTGTGTTTTTGCTCTGACCACTTGTTGGGCTTATTCTCTGTCTGTCGGCCTGGGGTGGTGTTGTTTATGTTGACACCTCCCCTTAGAAAACATAATTTTGAATCTGTTTCTTGTTATATTTTTTCTTGACCATTCAGCCAACACTCCTAAGAGTTTTAATAATTATTACCCAATTAGTATTCCCTTAAAATCACCATCCTGTAATTTCATGCAAGTAAACGTATAATTTATTTACTAACATATATATATACTAGCAGTAGAGCCCGGCGTTGCCCGGGGATATAAGAGTAAGAAATAGATCAAGTATCTACCATCATAAAGACTGAAAAATAAAATTGACAAAGATTATTGTTTAAGGTTGACGGACACGCATGTCTGAATTAGTTGTTTTTTTTTTTTTTTATGAATTGGTCAAACCCAAACTCAAACAAAAACATTGTTTTCAATCGTTATGAGTCTCTACCGATTAAATAGAATTTTATTATAAACAATTGTCTTCTAAATGGAATTTTTAAAGCATTCTGATTGTAAAAATAAAGAAAAAAGTGTGCAAGACAATAAGAAACACTACATGCCAAAAAAAAGTTTTGTTGAAATCGGTTGAAAAATGTAGGTAGCCTTTCTGTAATCTTTTAGTTTTACAATTTATGATTTTTACTTATTGAATACAGTAAAAAAATTGCATATTTTGCTTGTGGTGATTCATAATTAGAATTCTGATTTGAATATATTTTCCACTCGTTGTTTCTAATACAAAAAATATTAACTTTATTTGGGTTTATTAATTATGATCTAACAAATCTTATTCATTTAGTAGCCTTTCTATAATAATAATCTTTTACAATTTATGATTTTTACTTATTAAATACAGTAAAAAAAATTGGACACCATGTGTATTTAAAGTAGTTTCCCGTTCCAGTTATTATTTTTAGTTAGGACTTGTGTTTGTTTAGATTTCAGTATCTTTCCCTAAAGATAAAGAATTTATCCGATGTTTGTATTCGTACAATCAGTAGAGATCGTTAGATTATTGTTTAAGGTTGACAGACTCGCATGTCTTAATTAGTTAATTAGTTTTTTTTTTGTTTTTTTTTACGAATTGGTCAAACCCAAACTCAAACAAAAACATTGTTTTCAATTGTTATGAGTCTCTCGATTGAATAGAATTTTATTATAAATTATTGTCTTGTAAATGGAATTTTTAAAGCATTGTGAATATTAAAATAAAGAAAAAAGTGTGTAAGAGAATAAGAAACACTACCTACCAAAAAAAAAAGTGAAGTTTTGTTTTATCGGCTGAAAAATATAGGAAATCCGATCCCATATTTAAAGGAACCCACACACACAAAGAACCCGATGTGAGTTGTCCCCCTTCCATTTTCACAATGTCTCTTAATCGTGTTTTCAAATTGATTTTGTGCAAAAACAATTATATTTTTCCCATTTTTGGTGCTGTTAGAACCACCACAAGGTAATTTTATGTAGTCCAGTGAAGTTTTGTTGAAATCGGTTGAAAAATGTAGGAAATCCGATCCAGTATATAAACGTTACAGACACACACACACACAATCTGCATTTTATAATAAGTAAGATATATATATATGTAATTATAAACTATATGAAGCATAATTGGACTCTTTTTTTTCTAATCATGCATTTTGGACCTCACCTTGACAACCCTCAAATCCATGCTAAAAGAAAAAATGAAATAACCCAAAAGCAACTTGCCTCACCTTGACAACACTTAGCTCAACACTAGAAGATAAGATGGATATAACTTAAAGAAACTTACACATAAGATCGGACATTCCCTTTCTCACCACTCACAAACAACCTATTACTATCCCTAAATGACTGTGGACACTAGTATATAAGCATACTGTCAGATACACTCATGTTCACAGCATATATTTTTTTTATATGTTTTTTATTTCCCACTTTTTTATATTGTCATTATCATTATTAGTAGTAGTTTTTGTTACGTTTTTATTACAGTTTATTTTTTCCGAACCCCCCATTTTCTGACAATGATTTTTCAAAAGGATTCTTGAACTCTTTTTTTCTCTTTTATTTTTATTGCCTTGTTTACACACTGATGATTTTTTTCAATTCCCTCTTTCATATTATCATTATCTTTATTTTTAGTATTATTTTTTTATTTTTTCTGCACCCCCCCCCCCCCATTGTCTAACAATGATTTTCTTAAAAGAATTCTTTACTCCTTTTTGGGCTATTTTTTTCCTCTCTCTTTTCTTTTTTTTCTTTTTCTCTTTCATTTTATTTTTAGTGACAATCTCACTATGATCCCACACTGATCCTTACTCACAAAAAATAAAATCTTTCAACACTAATACCACTTCCACCCCCGGTCTTACAACCTCTTTTTTTTCCTATGT